CTCTCGACCAACACTCCAGGACAGGATTCCGTCGTCTTCACATGGGCTTTTATAAAGATGCAAAGCCAGCTCACCGCAGTTGACATCAAGGCAGTCCTTCCTTGAGACGTGAGCTGCTTGGCGCCCGGGCCTTTGCTCACAGGGTCCTGCTGCCTGGAGCCGCCCCCGCCCACGGACCCCCGCCTCTTCCATCGGCCGTGCATGCGGGTCGGAGGGGAGACGGTAGTCAGAGAGTCCAGGAGACGTCCCCAAGCATGGAGTGACCCGTTCCATCAAACCCTCAGTTGTTTGTGTATCTGGAAAGTCTTCTGGATCCCCAGGGCTCCACACACAGGCGGCCTCTGTGGAGGGATGGAGTGATCCAGTCTGCAGATCCTGGTAGACCGTGTGCGTGCATGTGGCTCCCAGAGAGAGCAAAGCGCTGTGCACCTTCCAGCCGGCGGGCTACCTGCCCTGGCATCCTGCCTGTCTCCCGCAAAGCTCGCCGCTGCCCCACCACCACGCAGCCCAGACTAATGATAGTGTAGTTAGTTGTGGGGAGAGGGCCACATCAGCCCAGTTGACACACGGCCCCTCCTGACTAAACCCCTTCACCTGCCTGGCACGAAGCCGGTGGCTGTGAGGGGCCAAAGGTCCATTCACTTATAGGGACTCTGCCTTCAAGTTTCTTAAAATCCTGCCGAAGACAAAAGTAGATCTAGCAAGAAGGACAATGATTACCCGACTGTGTGACACTGACTCTAACGACCAGACGTTCGGTGTTCGGAGGAAGGAGCTCTGCAGGTGAGGCGGGGCGTCCCGCGTCCGCGCCGGTGTCGGCCTGCACTGGCTGAAGCCGCACAGCTCTGGAGCGGCGGGTGGGGGTCCCACACCTTGGGGACAGGGGCACAGGAGGAAGCAATGGCCAGCGTGCCCGGAGGGGCCTAGACTGTGAGAGGCGCGGACGCGCAGGTGGGGCCAGGAGACCACACAACAGGAGGTGATCTCTGTGCGCGCGTACTCCTGCACCTCTGCTTCCTGCGGAAAAACCTAGGAAGGGTGGCCGGCGGCTCTTGTGCTCTTTAGGTCAGTGGCCCGTCGGCTTCTGTTAGATTCTGGTCGCATTTCCCCAAGTGCGGCTAAGTGGGGCTTCCAGCAATGCCATGACCCAGCAGGGCGCGGGAGCAGCCCGAGGGCCATGGCGCATCCGCCCACTGGGGCACAGCCAGGGAGGCAGCCCCCCGAGCAAATGCTTCCTGCAGTCTCACTGTGTCCAGATCTGATAATAGCTAATTCCACCAAACATTAGAGCGGGCTCACATTTAATTAAGGAGTGGCCATTTGTGTGCTCCAGACTGGAGGTCCCTGTGGCCATGAAGTCAAAAGAAGAGTCCTTCGGGAACGTGCCGGTCTTCTCTTATTTCCTCTGCTGAGCTCCTGCCTCCTTTGAATGCAATTATGGGAACAAATAAAATGGCTTAACTCAACTCCCCTGTGGGCCAGCCAGCTCTCTGCTGATAAAACCAGTTGTGTGGGCAATCATTAAATAGGAAATCTAATATTTAACTAAATTTAATAGTCTGTTGCTTTGGTGCCTCTGTGAAGGGTGGGATTTCGGTACAGAGGCGAGCTATTCAAACGCAGTCTGTAGGGTCTGTTAGGATATTGTGTGCTCCCGCTCGAAGCCGGAGCTCCAGGGTCCAGGAGTGGGAGGGCTGTTCTGGGGGGGCGAGCGTGTATTCTCGGTGACTCCAGGCAAGCTGAACTCGGTGGGCAGCAAAGCAATGCTGCAACCTACGTGTGAAATTTCTCCTTCAGAATCAGCGTTAGAGATTGCTGAGTGATGTCAGAAGTACCGGATCCAAACGCATACACACGGAGAGAGGAGCGTATCATAACCTGTGAGAGGCTCTGTAGGCTCTCTTTCATTTTGGAAAGCCAGTGCTCCAGGCTGGCCTTGCCACCAGACTTCCCCAGGGTAGGCTGTTGCCTGCACCCCAGGAGCGTGGTGCTGCCTTTTGGTAGCAGTGGGCCACCTTTGTCCCCCTTCGTGCCTGCTAACTCCCCTCATCCAGCTTGACTCACATGTGCACACTGCCTGGTCCCTTACTGGTCTCTACCTGGGCTCACTGCGTGGTCACACAGGAAAGGAAAGATGGCAGGCTCCCTGATGACCCCAGAAGATCTGAGCACTGGGTCCCACAGTGAGCACAGGTCTGGGCAGAGTCAGTGAATTGCATCCTGATCTGGGCATTAACTCAGTATTAACTTGCATTTGTCACGAGTCCTTCGAGTACTGGAAGCTTTCCAATCAGTGTAATGGAAGTGTGCTTGGGTCCCGTTGTGTGTGGTTTTATGTGGGGAGCAGTGGTTGGGAGGCTTTGATTGCATCAACTTTTATTACTCAAGAGGCCTGAAACACTGGGAGCCCCTGAGAGCCCCCAGGAGGACTCCCAGTCCCTTCCAGCTTCCTGTCCAGTGGAGACCGTCTTGGGGCTATAGAAAAGGGACCATGTGGGAACTGGGAGAAAGACCTGGGTGGGAACCCAGGCTCAGCTCCAGTGTAGATGCGTCATTTCTGGAGAATGGATTGGGTTTCCACGTGTACTCAGGTGACTGGAAACTCATATGGTTTGTCTCTGGGATGGGACCGAGTGCTGATGCCTTGGGGGCTGGAGGGCAGGGAAAGGCAGTCAGACAAATGACCACACTCTTACAGTTGGTGTTAAGAGGGTATCCAAGATGCGCTTCTACTTGCAGATGTGATGTTTGGCCTGTTGGAGAAGGCGCCAACAAAGAAAGTTCCAGTCATGGGGGACAGTGAGTGTCAAGGTCCTGTGGCAGTAAAGAATTAGAAAAATGCTGTTTTCCTCCTTATTCTGCAGAGCTGCTTTCTAGACTTCCTGCCCTACCATCGTGACGAGAACACAAATAAGAAATAATTCCTATCTCAGAAACCAACTCCTGACCATGCATGCCCACAACACTGTTAAAGGGCTGAGCGCACTTATTTTTTTTTTTTAAGATTTATTATTTTAGAGAAAGAGCAGGGTGGGAGGTGCAGGGAGAGGGAGAGGGGGAATCTTAAGCAGACTCCACACCTAGCACAGAGCTGGATGTGGGGATCGATCTCATGACCTTGAGGTCATGACCTGAGCCAAAGTCAAGAGTTGGATGCTCAACCGACAGCCACCTGGGCAGCCTGGGATGAGGGTATTTAGACTCAGCAAAAATGAGTGCTGTGTGGGCTCTCTGAGGAGTCCAGGTGGGGGTGTGGGGCAGGCCGTGGGGCACACCCGCCACCCTGGGGCAGTGCCCCTGCCCCAACTTGTGTGCGTCACCACGAGGTCGAGTGTGCCATCTCTCGGCCACATCTCTGGGTCTCAGAATTGAGGTCATCTACCTGGACCTCTGTGTACATCCCTTGCAGATGCAGTGTCCCGTCCCACTGTCTACAAAGGACACCATTTCTTGCCTGCCACGTGGTGGTTCACAATCTTCCGTGGTGTTGGTCTAGCTTAAGGTTTTTTTGTTTTTAACTCTCCCTGTTTGAAAATGAGCGGTACCATCGCCCCCTCCCCTCACCTTTTCATCAAAGCTCAATTTTCAAATGTGTCCAGCAACTTGTAAAACATTTTTGGTTTTGTCTGTTTGCTCATCACAGTTCGGGAACTGTCCCTGTCCATGGGTAGCCGTGGGAGTTTGCCAGCCCTGCTCGTAGACGGTTCCTCGGATCCCTGAGCACCACTGGTGGCCGCGTGCCCTTCACAGATAAAACCACTCAGTGCCAGAGACTCCTGGTTCTGGGCCATATTTGGCCTCCGGGGGCCGTCGTGGAGTCAGCTGGGGTCTGTTTTTCTTACGGAGTTGTTATGGGGACGGTTCACCGTTCCTTGTGGTGCTGCTCGTGGTGTGAGTTTACTCGGTGAAATATTCACTAATGTTTCAAAGCTATTTGAGGAGCCAGAGATGGAGCTCCTTGAAGACAAAATTTCCTTTCATAACGGGCCACAAGGTGTCCCCACGTGTAGCCTCAAAGTGAGAAAGGAAGAAGGAAGTCGGGTGGTTTTTATTATAGAGCAGATGGTGAAGGCGGAGGAACGGCCTTTTCCGCAGGAAATCGGTGAGGTGGGCTGATGAGGGGCATCCGTGCACCTGGAGAAACACCCACTGGGCGCATGTGCAAGTGAGGGGCCAGTGCAAGATTGACCCGCCTCTAATTTGGAGGGAAAAGGGCTAGTCCCACTGCACTCTATCCTGTGGCCCACGTGGCTTTAGGGCCAGCTAATATGATCATCCTAATTAAGGTGTCCTAAGCCAGATCACATTATGAGTAGGGTAAAAGATCCGAATCCATTTTCCCTGTAAAGTTTTAATAAAGAGCACACTCCAGGCTCTACTCTCCTTTTCTTCTTTGGTTATTGTGGCCACTATATTTGGAAAATCATCTGTCCTAACAGATAGGTGATGTTGGTTTTCTGAAACCAGCAGTTTGTGGATAAAACAAACCCGGACCGGGACATCTGGGTGGCTCGGTCATTTAACTGTCTGCCTTCGGCTCGGGTAATGATCCTGGGTTCCTAGGATCAAGCACCATGTCAGGCTCCATTCTCAGTGGGGGGCCTGCTTCTCCGTCTCCCTCCCCCTCTGCCCCTCCCCCTGCTTGTGCGCTCTCTCTCTCTCTCTCTCTCTCTCTCTCTCTCTCTCTCAAATAAATAAAATCTTTAAAAAAAAAAAATACCCAGGCCTATACATGTGGGTGAGAAATGCCATGGGGAAGGACAGTCTGTGGGCGGTAGAGGAGTTACCGAATAGGATGGAAAGAACCCTCCATCTGCCCACGCTCCTGACTTGAGACGGGGCATTCCACCTTGTCTCAGTTTCCTGGTCTGGGCAAAAGAAATAACAATCATCACCTCCGGGCCTGGCGTAGGAATTAGCAGTGTGGCCCACATGAAAGCCAGCGGCTTCAGTAAGTGATCGCTGAGGCTGAATGTGTCATTTTTCTTTCTCTCTCTTAGAAATGTTTGATCTGGAAACAAATGAGCACGTGCAGAAGGCCGTACATGACCGACAGATGCCTAAAGTAGAATACAGAAAGATCGAGGTTGACGATTACAGTAAGTGCTGCGTGGTCCCCCTGGAACGGACAGCCCGGCCGCCAGCAGGGGATTGCTGTGCCCCGAGGCTCCCCCACAGCACCCCACTCCCCGGCCTCATGGCTGAAAGTGCATCCAACCTGCGAGGGGGAGATTCGGGCGGGGCTCATGGGGGAAAGCATCCTGCACTGAGCCTGTTGTGCTCAGAACCAAGACACTCCTCTGGCAATAGACCAAAAAAAAGTGGAACATGGATTTCTCTCCTCGAGAGGCTGACAGTTAAATAAGGCCCCAGACCAAAATTCTCTCCTTTGGGGGGAACATGTCATGACACCATCCAGAGGAAACACCCCCCCTCTGGAAATTTCTCTTCTGTTCCATCCGATATTTTCCTCCTCCATTGTCTAAGCTCTCGGTGCTGATTATGGGCTGCGGAGGCGTCCTTGCAACTAGAGAGAGAATACAGTGAAGGACTGCATGCTGACGTGACCGGAGACGCCCCCAGCACTCTGCCTGTCTTTGTGCCCCTCTTGGTCTTGAGCTGTCCATTCTCCCGTCCAGGGAGCTTTTACGAGCGCTGGTGCCGTGCTGGACCCCAGAGCACCGGCTACAAGTGGACTCCTCTCTCCGGAGGGAAGCAGAGTCCTCCTAGCCTCAACCCTCCGCCTCTGCAGATAGGTCCCCGGTCAACCCAGCCCGCCTGGCGTCCTCACGGCCCGCCACAGGTTTACCCATGTGCAAAAACCCCAAATACGTCTCACTGTCTTTCCCCCAGAGCTCTGTACCCCGCCAGACTTCCGTACTTTGGGGGATGGCACCCTTCTCAAATAATGCAGGCTCCAACCTTCAGGTCCATTCCCCCATCACCTCTGAGGTTGGCAAATAGGTCTCCCCTCTTGAGCTAACTCTCACCGGAGGGTGACGGCAGCTCCGAGTCGCGGCTTGTTTGTCTGAAATCCCACCCCCATCCCTGTTGCTCCATGAAGAGAGCCACGCTGGGCAGTTCGGGGGTACCCCCATATAGAGAGCAGGTCAGAGAACTAGGTCAGAGGAAAATCTGGCCAGCCCACTCGGATGGCCTGCTGGACCGGGTACAGTCCTCCACATAGACCCTGGCGTCCACTTACTCAGAGCAGACTCAAACTCATGAGAGCCCTTAAAGGAACTGCATATTTGTGCCATCTTCTTCTTTAAGGAAGAACCAAAAGGCAAGAAAGCAAGATGCTTTTAAATTGATAGTGGACGGATGATGGATGGGGGGAGGGAAGGGTCGAAGGAGAGTAAGGCGGCCGAATAAACAAGCAAGCAATTTCCACACGTTTTCCCGACCCCCTCTACCTTCCAGCTCTATCTACAGACCTCAAGACAGGTTCCGAAATTTGCAGGGCCCAGTGCAACATGAACACTTGGGGCTCTTCATTCATGGCTCGTTACGACCGCCCGGCATAGGGCCCTTGCACAGGTCGCAGGTGTGCGTCAGCCTGGTGGCCCTCCGTGGCCAGACTTCAGGTTCCGTGCCCCACCCCCATTCCTGGCAGCATGTTTTCCCGAAAGCTCCCTCACATTTTCCCACGTCCGTTGGTTCCCACCACAGCCGATGAGGCCAGATCATATTCTTTACAAGATTCTTTCTCATGTCCTGGGCCCAGCGCCCTCCTCCTTCAAGCCGGTCCACACTCTGTCACAATAGTTTCCCAAATCCTAACACCGTCCCCTCCTCCAAAAATGCAAAGACCTTTAGAAACAAATAATCAACTCTCCCACCCTTGCCGCATAAGGTTTCCTTCCCGTGGGAGGTTTCCTTGGTAGGTGGCTGGGAATATGCAGGTGCTAGGAGAGCAGGTGTGTGCGAGGACTAGCCGCCGAATGTCACCCCTTTGGGGCCACAAAAAAATCTGCAAGATGTGTTCCTACCCACCTGTCTTGTTATGTTTTGCTTTTTTCATTTAATGTCCCCAGAGGCTCAGGCTTTCCTTCGGGAAGCAGTCCGTCTTCAGGAAGGGCTCCCGGCCCTGTACGCAGCCCGTCGTGGCCGAGATCTGCCCGTGGGCTTTATCGGCAGCAGAGAGCAGCCAGACCATGTTTTATGAATATTGCGATGATAAAGTCCCACGCCTGCCTTTCTGCCAGTCCCTGGGCCATTGATCCAATTTGCAAGCCATTAACATTCAACCAGAATCAGTAAGGAGAGCCTGGTCAGAGCCGGCTGCTGAGCCAACCACCCCGGCCTGGGATGTATCTGCAGTAATTGTACTGAAAAAGCTACTAATTCCAATTTAATTGCTGATCTGGGTTGTAGTTACCGTCAATAAACAATTTCTAACTTGGGCAAGAAGGTTTGTTTGGGGGGAAGGGGACAGAAGAAACTGGTATGGGAGCCCCTGCCTCCCGCACCGGGTCCCTGCTGCCCAGGACAAGATCAGAAGGAGCTGGTGCCTCAGCCGCCTCCCCTCCTGCCGTGCCATCGGTGGCACCCACCTGCACACAGCGAGGCCGGCAGAGGCCCTGGCTGTGCCCGGAGGCTCCCGGCTCTCAGCCTCTCCCGCTGGACTGCCGCCCGCGTCCCGGTCTCATCCCACATCCCCGCGGCTCCCCGAGGTCTGTCCCCACTAAACTGCGCGTGGCGGCAACGCTGTTGGCAGAGACACATGCCACCCTTGGGGTTTCATTTCTCCCAGCCTGGAATTCGGCTGTTAAAAGGTGTTTACGGCCTTCCGGGCTCTTCTGGTTTTCAACACACTGTTTGCAAGATTGAATTTAAGCTTCAGATGGAGAAACTCAGCCTTGAGGTGGTTGGGTGATTTCCCTAAGGTCACTCAGCTGGCCAGAGTCACTAAGACAAAAATCAGGGCCAGCCCCGGGGGGTGTGGGGGGGGACCCATGGAGCCCCCTCCAGAGCGTCCTTCTGGAGCGTCCATGCCTCCAGGAGCGCTCCGGGCCGCTGGGACTCCATGGCCTTCCTTCCTGGTCCAGGTTGCCCCCTAACGTGCCGCCCTGTGTCTGTTTCTGCCTAGACTTGCCCGTTCAGATCCTCAAGCCAGCAACCTTCACCGACACGGCCCACTACCCCTTGCTCCTGGTGGTGTGAGTATTGTCGCCTCTTTCTTTCTCGGGGTGCTTGCCTGGGGACTCGGTGACCCCATGGAAAGCATTGAACTCAAGAAAAAGACAAGCGTGAGGAAGGAGGGCTGCAAACTAGAACAGAAGACAGGTTAGGCTGCCAGCAGGTGGCAGGCTCTGCTCGTAACAGTCGGTGAGGCCGCCCTGAAAGCAAGTGGGCTGTACCCCTCCCCAGGCTACTTGTCCCTCGAGACCTGAGGCAGGTCTTACTGGGTGGGTGGCGCTACCGTGGCTGGTGAACAGGCTCAGCAACGGACAGGAAAGCCGACCTGGGAAGGCAGACGGCCCCGGGCCGGGCAGGGCGCTGAGGCCCACCCAGAGCACAGGTCCCTCGAGAGGCGGAGGCAGGCGTGGAGGGTTAATGCGGGCACACTGGGCGCACGGAAGTGTTTGTAGAGGCAGACACCACCCAGAGATTTAACACATACTCTCTTCACCTCCACGTGTGTTCTTTCAAGGCCGTGGAACGTGAGGAAAATTCTGAGCTCTCCCGTTGCCTCTCAGGGAGCCACCCCTCACGTTCACTTGAAAGAGGTCCGGATAGAGCAGCGGCCTGTGCCGGAGTTGTTTTAGGAACGCCAGTGAAGCCACCCACCTGAGTCAATATCAAATGACCTGATTAACCCTGCTCCTGTCGCCCGGCTCCCGTCCTGGGCGCTTGGTCCCCAGCAGTGGAAAGACTTCGTTATAGAGCTGCCCCTGGCTTAGATCCCAATATCGGATTCCGTTTTGCAATTAACCCACTTTCCTCACTATCTGGACAGGCTTAGCTCTTCGCCAGCCACCATACACGTGCCTCACACACACCCCTCGCACACTCATACACACCGCCTCTCATACACACACACACTCATACACACCGCCTCACACACACACTCATACACAC